TTGCATTCAAATTTTTCGCATGTGAACTTAACTGGGTCCCAAGCATCTCCAGCAGCATTGAAATAATAGTTTACTTCAGTGTTGAGGTTTGAGAAACCAAAGTCTAAGTCAACTTTGTCTTTGCAAAATTCGGCGAATGACGTTTTATTTGTTCCCTTTACGTCTGTAAGAGTGAATGGGTCTTGTGTTGGTGCAATGACTAAGTTATTTTTGCTTGGAGTAAGTTCGATAGAAATTTTTCCTGCCCAGTTTGGCAAGTATCTTAAAAACCTGAAGATGAGGAAAGATGACAAAGGAACTCTAAGTTTCAGTTTTACTTTAGTGGCAGCAGTTCCATCTGAACCAGAAAGGTTAACATAAACTCCTGGAACGTTAGGGTCAAGTCTTCTTATTTTCTCAATAGTTGCATACTGGTCTGTTTGTTCTCTAGCTTGTGGTTGTACTGAGTTTCTTAAAGCGAACCATTCATAGTTTGCCCATGTTACTGTTTGAACTAAGTCAGAGTTAGAATATATCTTATATCCCATGAAAACTTCTGGAGCATATTGGTATCCGACATAGAAAATTCCATTGCAACCTTTCTTTTCAGACAACTTGGCAGAAGGTTTTATTTCAATGTCTTGTTCCACGTATAAGAAAGAGTTGTCAATAGAAATAATATGAAACCTGTCGCAAGCAATATCTACTGTTGTTGAAGAACCTTCTCCAAACTCACCTACGTTTCCATAAGAAACAGCAGTTGTATATTCGTAAGTTCCAGGAACTATTTCTGACCTTCTAATGGCATTGTCGCATTCGTTATACCATTCGGAAACATTTCCATTCATGGCATCCAAAACTGTTGGCGTTATATTCTGAGCGGCGTACATTTCATATGGGTAAAAATATAGAATAGTTGGATTTATATGTCATAATAGAACCCACTCGGACCAAGCTTTACTTTCTTCCTGACTGAGTTTTTAACTCTTCTTTTTCCTTCATTGCCACTACTTTCACTAGATGAAGTTACTTCTTCACTACTTTCACTTTGTTCTACTCTTCTCTTCTTCTTTGGTGTCGCTTTTGGTAACTTGCCCTCTGCTTCAAGTTGTTGCATCTTTGCCTCATGTTCACCTAGTATGTTGTAAATTTCCCATGTCCTTTTTGCCTTTGGGCTCTGGTCGCCCATCTCAGGTAACCTATATCCTAGAAAGATTTTGTCATAGTTTGTATTTGAGTCTTCGCGTATTGTTTGCATGACTCTTTCCTGAGTTTCCGGTTCAAGCTCTTCAAACAGAGCTTGTCCATATGGAATAAGCTCGTTTCCAAATATATGTTTTTGTAGCCATTCTGGTTTTCTTTCCATGTTACCAATAATATCTTTTGTGAATGGGAAAGCTTTTACCCAATGTTTCAGTCTTTCGTCATTTATTTCTGTAGTTGGTTTTATTTTGTCAAGGAACATGTTTTTCAATACTAACATTTCATTTGGTACTGTCCATTTGAGTTTTCTTAAATATTCATCCCTTCTCGGTTCATTGTCTGCAAAGTAAGTTTTTATGACATTTTGTAAACTTTCGTTTGCAAGGTCATGTACAATAGGTTCTCTTCCTTCTCTCTCCCTAACTGTCTTTCTAAACTCTTCACCAAATATACCATCTCTATGGTTCTGTGTAGTTCTTTGAGATAAATGTTTTAGAACGTCAGGTGTTATATTTCCATCAGCCATGTTCATTTCATACTGGTTCAAAATATCTGCATCTTTCATATCTTTCAATGGCATTAAAGCCGCGCTGAAAATACCAGCTATATCTGGTTCACCATTCACTTCCATTGCGTCTACAACTTCTTGGAATTGTGGTTGTAAGTTTATGAACCACCTATCCGGATTAGCTTTATGACCCCATCTCATTGTAGTTCCATAGTCTGCAGAAACAAAAGTAGGTTTGTTTCCATATTGGTTAGGTTCTGAATGAACTTTAAACAATGTTTCATTTCTATATGTTTTGTTGAAATTTAACCTTTTATTTTCACCGAGTTCAGCCAAAGATTGAACGTTATATGGTCGTAAGTAAAAAGGATTGTTGTATTTGCGTACATTATCTTTCAGTACTTCCATTCTATGCTGAATATTTTCATCTGATGTTGGAGTCTTTTGTATGTCGGCAAACATTTTTCGATATTCTTCTACTATGTCAGCCGAATTTTTTTTAGACTCTTGGAAAGATTCCATATTCACCTCATACTCTTGTTGAGGGTCAAGATTTTTCGGCTGTTCCAAATCTTCATCTAGTTCTGTGAGGTTAGTTTCCAAAGGAGGGACTTGTTCGTTTCCTTCAGGCTCTTCTAGCTGTTGTTGCTGAACTATTTCTTCCATGTCTGGTTGTATCTGAACTTCTTCCTGTTGAGTTTCTTGTACCTCATCTGCTGGCATTTCATATATTCCGAGACCGTTTTTAAAAAGTTCCCTATCTAAGTCATCCGGACTCATAAACCTTTCTTCTTTCGTTCCGTCTCTATTTTTTACGCGTTTCATGAAGAGAGTTGAATTGTCATTTAGCTCTGACACCAAATATCTCGGAGTAAATTCGTTCATGTCATTTGGATGATATGCTATTAAATCATATCCCTTAGCGAGCTTGTATTTTCCAGGTTTGAAATTATATCCCATTTGGTGCTGAACCATAAAGCTAAATAGGTTCGGGTCTGTATTTCCTTCCTTGAACTTTCTAATAGCTTCTTTATATCTGTCACTAAAGTCAAGAGTATCTGGGTAACCATATTCTTCCTTAAGCATTTTTAAGAAATCTTGGTTTCCTTGTTCTCTACTTCTTTTATGTCCTTGCTCTGTTTGTGGTTGTTGTGCTGGTTGTGGAGGTGGTTGTTGTGCAGGGTTTTGAACTGTTGGTTGCTGTGCTGGTTGTGGAGGTGGTTGTTGTGCAGGGTTTTGAACTGTTGGTTGCTGTGCTGGTTGTGGAGGTGGTTGTTGTGCTGGTTGTTGTTGTTGTTGTGGTGCTGGATTTTGAACTGTTGGTTGTTGTGTTGGTTTTGGTGCATGCCTGTGTCTGTGTCCATGTGACGATGTAAATGTTTTAGGTAGTCCTGGTGCAGGTGCTTCTCTTGGAGGGTTTGGTGGTATATAAGTTCCACTAGCTAGTATATAAGTTCCACCAGCTGGTATATAAGTTCCACCAGCTGGCACATATGTTCCATCTGCAGCATAATGTCCTACCTGACTTTTCGTTCTTAAGAAAGCATTTACTAGGTCTCTTTTGGTCTGTTGTAACTCTTTTTCTTGACTTTCCACAACAGCTGTTCTAACGGCGTCATGGGCACTTTGAACTGCCTGTCTCGTTGCTGCATCTGTTATTTTCGTCATATTTTGTGCTACTTCTTTTAACTCTTTGTCGAAACCTTCAGACTTCAGTTTCTTTCCAGATGAGAAGTCGTTCACTAGTTTCACCTTACTATGAAGAGCTTCGAAGGCGTTCTTAAAGTCAGCATTCGTTAAAGCTTCATTTGAACTGTCTTCATCCGCTTGTATTTTTGTCCTTATTGACCCTATAAGTTGGGCTGCTTTAGCGTTGGCTTGGGCGTCTAACCAGTCATTATTAGCTTTTATATATTCTGCGCTTTTCATTGCCTTTTGCATGGCTGCGTCGTTATTTTTACTTTCTTGTGCTAAGTTTTCATACTGTACGGTTTGGTTTTGCAACTGTAAAAGTTTTTCTGCCTTTACATTTGCTTCAACTTCTTTTTTATACTCATCGCTATCCATATATGTCTTCAGGGCTTTTTGTTTTATTTCTTCATCTTTCAGTACTTTATATTGAGTAGTATGGTTTTTCAAATTTATAACATCTTGTTCCATTTTTGCTACTTCTGCTGCTTTTTCTGACACTTTTTTCGCATATTCCTCTGTACTTAGTTCTTTCAGTTGTTCTTCTTTCTTCTTTTTCTCTACGTTTAACTCATTGAGTTTCTTTGTGTGTCTGTCATATTCTAGTTTCTTTTCGTTTTCACTTATTTGTTTCTGTATGTCTATGTTTGACTTTTTGACATCTGTTATTTGATTTTTGAGTGAACTCAAATTCATTTGACTTTGAGGGTTATAAGCTGTTCCGTCTGCAGCTCCACCATAGCCTGCCATTTTCGCTAAAAGTGCCGCTCTTAAACCTCCACTCTGTGCACCAATAACTCGGTTTAAAAGCATAGGGTTGCTTGACATTTGTTGCAACATAGTGGGGTCATTCAGCATTTGTTGTTGCAACTGTTGTTGTGGTGTCAGTTTTACTATTGGATGTTTCAATGCTCCCTTCCTCTTACGTATATTCTTACGTAGCTTACGTGGCATTTTAAGTGAAGTTAAAAAGCGGTTTTATACTAAACATCTTCGGGGCTAGAGGGCGCAACGCGCCTGGAAGCCCCACTACCTTTTTTTTTTCAAGTAGATGTGATTTGATTCTGTACAACTAAATATTAATATATTTAAAACATTGTAGAATTAAAATTTTTGACGATATCAATTTATAAAAAAAATGCAAGCGAATCCTTTTAATAAAGCTAAGATACGATTTGCTTCACTTTGTCCACCTAGTAAAGTGTTCAACACAGGGAGCATGGACTGGGAAGCATGTGGGCTACTTGCATTAGCCGGTAAAGGCACAATTTATCTCTATAAAACTACTAAAAATGATATTTCTTTCTTATGATCCATTGAAATTCTAAATTCTAACATAACTTGCCTTAAATTCCACTATGAGCTACCTTATCTTGCAATTTCAGACGATTGCGGAAGAGTTTTGTTATGGGATTGTGAATCAGGTCTTACACTCGGAATCACTCGTCAAGTATCTGAAGCTCAGTATGTATCGGAGCTTCAATGGTCCCGTAAAATCGTTTTAGGCTTTGCAGAACCAAATACAATTTATAGTATCGATTTTTGGCCGTATGAAGCTGAAGATCAAGCGAAAAACTCACGAATACTTTGGAAGATAGATGTTCCTGGTACATATACAAGGATGGCTGTTAATAGTTCAGATATATTCACTGCAATTCTATATTCTAATGGTCCATCCTTTACAATTATCACGTCAAAGAATGCCAAGCAGGCTCCAACATCTCAATCTCAATCCCATACTTTAGATAAATCAGAAAAAATCGTAGAAATTCAACATCATCCCCATATTAGTAATATTTTATTAATTATGCTTGAAGGAAAAATACTTACGTTTAACATAGCGACCAAATCTGGCCGAAATCTTGTAATCGATGAATCATCCCAATCATCTTTCCATAAACTGCTTCCTTCTTTAACAAATGACAACGAAATTACAGTTTATGGTCAAGACTCGTCACTCAGTATCTATATCTGTAACGAAGACTACATTTTTACAAAATCAGGAACAATAAAATTGAAAAGAGAGCTGTTTGACTTAAAATCGAAGTATTTACCACTATCCGCTGCATGTAACCGTGCACTTCCCGAGCGATACATCGCGTTCTCTCCATCAAATGGCTTAGTTATGTTTGCCATAAAAGATGATATACCTTACGTCATCGCGCAGTCTCAAATTATACCACAGATACCAACCTGTTACGATTTCTACGACGGAATCCTTGCTTTCGGCACTCCAACCGGAAAGATAATTTTCGCAGACGTTTCAGAAGGGAAATACACACAGAACTACCTTGCATCCAGCACATCCATTGAAAAGATCAAGTTCCTTACCAAAGATGTCCTTCTGTGGTACTCAAAAACCGAGTGTGGATCAATAAATCTTCCCAAGCGCCAAGTTATTCCAATCCACACTCGCCTTGGCCCTGCCACAGACCTAATATGTTCAGAGGAGCTCGGCGTTTTCGTCCACGGCAAATACGACCTTGGTATTTTTTATGATGTCAAACAAAAGCCGATGACTCTTCAAACATCCATCACCGCTGTTGCAGTCCAAGTATCCAGAATACCAGCAACATGTTTCCAAGGCGATACTCCCAATTTCGCCGTATTATTATCTACCGGAGAAATCCAAGTCTACACATACAAGAACGGCATAGCACAGATGCCTGTTCTGAGGCTGCGTAACTCACGGGAGAACTCCAGGACAACTTGTCTTGCTTGGAAAGGCGATTGCATCATAACTGCTGACACAGACGGCGTAATTATGTTTTACGACTTTGCTTTCGGTACATCGAAGCAAACATACTCTCCTTTCATCGACATAGACAGGATAGAGTTCGAGAGATCATCCAGCGGATTGTACGTACACGCGAGAGACGGAAAATTTGGTTTTTCACTTGAAAAAGTGGAAAGTTGTCCTTTTTCTGTTTCCTCATTCGCTGTAACAGGAAATGGACTCGTCCTCGTCTCCCCGCTCAATGACGAAGCCGTGAAATTCGTTATTGCAAGAGACTGGAGATCTGTAAAAAGAATCACTTCACCTGCCCTCTTAAAACCGCTAAAAACCGCCCAGCAACGGTTAGAGCTTATGGGTGAGCAATTATTAACGAATCCTACTACAGGAACATGGTCAGAAGCACTTCAAATAGCTGAGATAGCTAATGACCATGGATTTCCAACTGATTCCATTATTTGGAAGTGTGTTTCACGTAGTTTGGGAGGTCCGAGGTTGCAAGCACGACATTCCATGTTTGGAGGGAAAGAAGAAGTTGTTTCCGCGTTGAGGATTCAATCTTCTCTGTTTTCTCCTGCAGATACTCCGATTTCTGCCATTTTCAACTTGTTGTTCAAGTTCAGAATGGGTGATAGAAGAGGAGCTGTCGAAGTTTTCAAGAGTCTCTCCAACAAAAGCGAGTTCACAATAGTGGCAAGCATTTGTTCGGCGTTGCTTCTGTGATAGAAACTGTAATTTTAACCGTTGAGTCTTCAGAAATCTTTGAAGGAGCTGCAATTTGGAAAATTGTTTTCACTTTAGGAGAATATAATTTTCTCTCAAAATATACAAAAATAATATACTTTAAAACCATCGTGACAAAATTCAAAAACGAAGAGTTCTTCTCTCCAAATTTTTTTCAAAATCAAAAAAATGAGATAAAAAAGTACGTTTGGAAAATTCATTTTTAGCATTTTAGGAATTTTCTCACTTTTCTTCCAAATTGACATCCTTAATTAAATTAAATTACACATTAACACCGGAGCCGGAATCATCTTGGATATCAGATGATGATTTATCTTTAGATGGTTTCCTGCAGAAAACGAAGTAGATGATGAGAATAATAAGAATAACAGCAAGAAGAACGCCAATAACAATACCAGCCTTCTGTCCACCAGTAAGTCCACTATTTTCAGGTGTTGGTGTTGGCTTGGAATCATCAGGGCTTGGTGCAACGTATTGTTGTTTCTGAAGTGAAACCTCCGTTTCAATGACATTGGATCCAGCTAACCTAATTTGAAGTTTAACTTTTCCATCTTCTTTGATATCTTCATACTTTGGAGCTGGAATGTTGAGTAGATATGTTTTGCCTTCGTCGGCATGTAATTTCTTAATTGCAGATGGGGTTTCTACTTCAGTTACATTGTCGTCTGGGAGATCTATCCATTTCTGATCTGCATAGAATCTATATTGGAAGCTTCCTGTCTTTGCCTCAAAGTGTTGTAATGTAACTTTAACTGGAATATATTCACCGGCCTTGAATGGTTGTGTATGATTTTCAGCAACAACAGTTGCCGCAGATAAATATGGAGACTTTCCAAGAGAATATGTAACATTACCGGTACCTAAGTTGGATTTATGATCGGCGTCGGTCTCAACAACAACAAGTAACTTTGTCTTATTATGATCCTTGTAGCGTTAACTTTGAAAGTCCATTCTTCTTGTTCCGCTTGCTACGGCTGTTGCATTGAGAACATTTTGTGATATTGCGACGCTAGTGGCAGAGGCGTTGGAAGCTTCGCTTTCTGTTGCAAAGAGATAATATGTCTTTGTAATATTTAAGCCTGTTTCGAGTATGATTTTGGCTGTGTATGGATTGCCTGAAATTACTTCGTTGCCTTCGTTGTATTGAACACTCTCGATAACTGGTGTGGGGACTGTGGAAGAATATGTAACATTACCGGTACCTAAGTTGGATTTATGATCGGCGTCGGTCTCAACAACAACAAGTAACTTTGTCTTATTATGATCCTTTGTAGCGTTAACTTTGAAAGTCCATTCTACTTGTTCGTGCTTGCTACGGCTGTTGCAGTGCTAACATTTTGTGATATTGCGACGCTAGTGGCAGAGGCGTTGGAAGCTTCGCTTTCTGTTGCAAAGAGATAATATGTCTTTGTAATATTTAAGCCTGTTTCGAGTATGATTTTGGCTGTGTATGGATTGCCTGAAATTACTTCGTTGCCATCGTTGTATTGAACACTCTCGATAACTGGTGTGGGGACTGTGGAAGAATATGTAACATTACCGGTACCTAAGTTGGATTTATGATTGGCGGCGAACTCAACAACAACAAGTAACTTTGTCTTATTATGATCCTCTGGAGCGTTAACTTTGAAAGTCCATTCTTTCTTGTTCCCGCTTGCTACGGCTGTTGCATTGAGAACATTTTGTGATATTGCGACGCTAGTGGCAGAGGCGTTGGAAGCTTCGCTTTCTGTTGCAAAGAGATAATATGTCTTTGTAATATTTAAGCCTGTTTCGAGTATGATTTTGGCTGTGTATGGATTGCCTGAAATTACTTCGTTGCCATCGTTGTATTGAACACTCTCGATAACTGGTGTGGGGACTGTGGAAGAATATGTAACATTACCGGTACCTAAGTTGGATTTATGATTGGCGGCGAACTCAACAACAACAAGTAACTTTGTCTTATTATGATCCTCTGGAGCGTTAACTTTGAAAGTCCATTCTACTTGTTCGTATTTATATCCAGTGAAGATAGAATAGAAGTTTGGAGATGGTGTATAGAACTTTATACCTCGAACTGAAAAATCTTCTAACTTTGACAATAAGATATCCCAAGCATCTAACATCTTCCTTCCAACTTGTACAACTTTTATTTTCTTAAGTTTCTGTCTACATTCTTGTTCAGACACTATTGTTGCTCTTGGTTTGTTAAAGACAACATCCCATTCTTTCATGACATAACATTCTGGGGCAGAGTCAACATAAATGACTAAACGTTTCAAATTCTCGACTGCTTTGTTATAGTCTCGAAATGGACACATATTTCTGAATGCTTGGAAGTCATAAAAATCTGAAACATCTATTCTGTACATTTTTTTATAAAAATAAAAAAAAATATTTTTTTATTCTTGAGCTTGTTGTTCCATTTGTTCCATTTGTTGCATTTGTTGTTCTTGAGCTATTTGTTGTTGAAGTTGTTCTTGTAATACAATACTTTCACCAGTTGCATCTTCCAATTCGAAACTTTCTGCCGTCATTGACAAATACATAGGACATAAAAGTTTTACAGGAACAAAGTTTGCGTCAACTAAGGTTAAGTTTATGTTTGCTAAAGTGTTTGAGTTTACTAAAGCTGAAAACTCTGCATTCGAATGAACAATAGGCAAACCAGCAGAGAAAGTATTGTTTATACGCATAAGTATCTTTTGGTCATAATAGTTTCTGTCGACATTCGAATAACACTTTGAACCTAAGTTTGAAACAATATATAAGATTGGTGTGCTTAAAGTCAATGGAACAGACATTCCTTGTATGACACCTTTTCCTGTTATAGGAAACTGTTGGTAGTAAAAACCAGATATAAGTTTTGTATTATAACTCATATCGTTTATAGTAAACTCAGTCGGACATCCAAACATAATGAAACCTGCTCTAGTTGCAGCACATGTTACACCCGTCCTTAAAGTATTAAATAAGTCAACAAAACCTGTTGGTGGTATATCTGAGTAAGTATCTTCAAAGGAGTATTTTTTACCATTCACAACAATAAAGTCTTCTGGTGTCAAAAGAGCAAAACAGGCTTTAGTCGTCATTGTGTTTAAGGTTAGTTTACAATATCGTCCTTGAGGACTTTGTAAGTTTGTTGTTATAGAATTATATGACTCAGGGTTTTTAGTCGTAATAGTATAAACCATTATGTCTTCTGCCATTTACTTAGCAAATAAATTTTAATGAAATGTTGTGGTCGTCAAATATTTTTATAACGTCTGGGAAACTATATTTTAAGTTCAACGTTTCACCTCCTTTCATAACGTATATCTTGTCAATGACATTATATGAAACACCACAGCAACTAATGTCGGGTTCTATTTCTTTGATGTTTATATCGTCTGCCTCTGTCAAAAGTTTCAATAGTTCTTTCAAAACTTCATGAGGTGCAATGACATATGAGTTCACTTTTACAGGGTTGTGTTCGACCAAGTTTAACATTATACTTAAAGCTTGACAAATCTTCTCCTGAGTTTTAAGTTTGTCTTTCAGTTGTTGGTAGTCGTTTCGAATATCTGCAACAGAACTTAAGTCTCTGCTAACTTCAGGATATGTTGGTTGTTCTTTTACAGGAACTATTGTTATACCATCTTCGTCTTCGTATGGTTTCCCCACTTCAACATCTCTGTCTTTGACATTGACAACAACACTTTGACTGTTTGTTTGAGTTGGTGAATTTAACTTCACATCTGCCACCGCCATTAAACCTTTTGAAACACTTACACTTCTATTTTTCGGAAATGACATTTTACTTAGAATAAAAAGATGGACGTATTCAGATATCTCTTCGAATTGAAGCAAAACAAAGTTTACACACACAAACAATACAAATACATTGACAGAATAGTTCTTTACACAAACAATGGAAAATGTTATAGAATAGCAGTCTTTGCTGAACCTAAATATTTTCATAAAGCAAAGAAAGTTGGTATAACTGAAATGGTGAAAGTTCTTGAAGCAGACAAAAATATAACTTCAAAACTTACAGATATTTCTAAAGGAAAGTTTATAATACAATATTATGTCAAAACTGGCGTACTGTCAATATTTGACGGAGAGAAGTCAGTTCAAGAACAACTTACTGACCTGCTGCCAAAATCTGCTCGATGGAAGCTGTCGTTATGCCAATCTGAGGAGCCCCAGCAGGTTTCATCGAACGAATTTTCAAAAGAGCATCTTCCGTGAAAAGTGCTATTGGTTTTGTAAACTTCTTTGCTTTCAATTCATCTGGACCGTCTCTGTCACCAGTATATTGTATTTGAACTGTACCAACAGTTGAAATACCACCCATAAAGTCTTCTGAGTCAGCAAATGGAATGCCAAGCCAAAAGTTTGAACGGTCTCCATTTGTATATTGAGTTTTTTGACCTCCTGTATGGGTCCATACTTTCACATATGGCATAATAGAACTTTGCATTTCAGGGTTAATGGTTGTTGTGAAGTTGTTGTTAAAGTTCATAGCATCTAATGTCAAGTTGTATGACCTCATATCCTCAACTGTAGAATATTCTTCTCTTGGATAATATTTGCCATCTATGTTTATATGATATTTAATACCAGGGTTGTAGAAACAAGAATAGTCATTTATAGTTCGTCTGAAAAGAACAAACATAGTATCTGCATGTTTCATTGCAGTTGTTAAGGCAATATCTGTTCTTGCACCTGGGTCAGCACTTTGGTTTCCAACTTCACCTGCAAAGTCTTTGACAGATATTTGGTGTATAGGGAACATAAGTGGAACTGCAATATATTTGGCAGCTAAAGCATTTGAAATATCTGGGTCCAACATATAGACTGCAAGTCTGCTTTCTATTCTCTTGCATTCAAATTTTTCGCATGTGAACTTAACTGGGTCCCAAGCATCTCCAGCAGCATTGAAATAATAGTTTACTTCAGTGTTGAGGTTTGAGAAACCAAAGTCTAAGTCAACTTTGTCTTTGCAAAATTCG